TAATCATCTAGTTCATACTTGGTTTTTTATACTGTTTTTCTTACACACATCAACTAGGTACTTTTCTCTCGTGAGATCAAAGCAGGTAAGGGTGCATGTAGCATCACAATTTAAATTAATAGCTCAGCACAGCTAAGTATGAGTTCAAATTTATCAAATTCTGAGTTGAGGCTAAATAAATTTGGGACTGATGAAGAGAGAAGAGGACCGCGCCAAGGTACAATATTTGAGCCATGCATGTTACTTGAAAATGTGGACGATACACCTTTTGTGCCAAGCACAGGTATATAAGATAATCCTGTTTTCACTATAAAGGAACGAAGGAAATGGCTTTACGACACCTAAATCTAGGGCCGCTATAATGAAAGGCAAGATTGCAGCGTAAGTCACTCTATATTTGTATATGGTGGCAAATGAAAATCAAACCATATTAAAGCACCAAGTACTTTTTGGAGAGTAAAGGCAAAAGGCAGTTTTCGAGACATATATTGAAGTTTATAAAAATGAGCGGAAACCAGACAGCCTAACAATCAAATTTCATTCGCTTACCAGAAATTGTCTCCATGTAATGAGCCTTAAAAGCAACAGAAAAACTATATGAAATTCAACACGTCCTCGGGGAGTTCGTTGATTTGTGTGTTGTAATAGTCGATAAATTGACGCAAGACATGCTGTTCGTCATCGCACACAAAGTTGATTGCGGTTCCCTTTCGACCAAACCGACCACCACGACCGATTCTAAAAGAGAATATTAAACTGTTCAGTCTTACCTGTGAATATACGTTTCACGATTCGTTGGCAGATCATAATTGATTACAATCGAAACCTGTTGAACATCAATCCCACGAGCCAAAACATCTGTTGCTAACAAGATTCGAGACTCTCCATTTCTAAATTCCTGCATAATGCGATCTCGCTCGACTTGTTCCATAGCGCTATGCTGAAGCACATATAACAAAGTATATAACTTACAATGCACGAAACAACAAACTTTCTCTCCTGCAGTTGTTGATATAGTTCCTGGACTTTGTTAATAGTATTCAGGAAGATGACAACTTGGCTAAGGTTACATAGCTCGTAGAGCTCAACAAGGGTAAGCAGCTTATTCTTCTCCTCATGGACCTGAATGTAAAACTGTTTGATGCCATCCAAAGTAAGTTCCTCTTTCTTGACCAAGATATTAACAGGGTCCGTCATCATTTCCTTAGTAACTTCGACAATTTCAGGTGGCATAGTTGCGGAAAAAAGAAGTATCTGACAAGAATGGGGAAGAAATCGATAGATCTGTTCTATCTGCTCACGGAAGCCACGAGAAAGCATTTCATCAGCTTCGTCGAGAACAAAAAGCTTAAGATTATTTGTACCAAGAGCATGACGTTGCATCATATCCAAAACGCGTCCAGGCGTACCAACTACCACTTGTTGTCCGATTTGAAGACTAGAAACATCATCATTAGGCCGGGTCCCACCGACACACAAGTGACATTTAACTTTAGTGAATTGACCGATTTTTTGAATAACCTAAATGTGCAAAATTAAAAATGAAAACCTACAACTTGAATTTGTTTCGCTAGTTCTCTGGTGGGAACGAGAACGAGGGCCTGT